TGTAGTTACCAGTTTTCCATTGGTCCGGATCCCATTCTGCTTTGGACGCCTTTGATTCCTGCTGCTCACTGACAAGCTTCATTGGGAGGCCTGTTCTGGAGATGAGCTTGGTACAAGCCATTTGTACGTGGGACTCAGAGCAGTCCATTTTCAAAGTCCGGATAACATGAGAAATGAGCCTTCTCATGTCATTGTTGGACATGAGGGATTGTAGGTGCTGGTTTAGCTGAAATTCAAATTGATCGCCTGGGGATGAAAGCGATGGGTGACTGAAGTCTTTGTGCTTGAGGGGTAAGTCAGTCTCTGGGCTGCGGTATTCCCATTGTGTTTCACTGGATTGTTTAGCAGTTGGCACTGACTTTAATGCAGTCACAGGAGAATCTGCAGCAGAATTCTTGTGGTGCTCTGATCCCTCTTGATGCCCTGACCCCTCAATGATGCTCTGATCTCTCACTTGTTGGAAGTGCCTTTTCTTTTTGCCTCTTGGCCCCTTGAGGATTCTGTTCATCCTCTGCCGCCTTTCACCTACACTCTCAATGATGCTCTGATCCCTCACTCGATGCTCTGATCCCTCTTGATGCTCTGATCCTTCAATGATGCTCTGATCCTTCCTGATGCTCGGATCCCTCATTTCTTTGAAGTGCCTGTTCTTTACGCCTCTTCTCCCCTTGAGGACTCTGTACGCTCTCTGCAGCCTTTTCCCGATACTCTCAAGCTTTGCGAGGCTGTTCTCCTGTGGTTGGGCAGTTTCTAATTTCTTTAAAAATAGTTGGTGTTTAACTTTGGGTCCTAAAAGACTAGACTGCATATGCATGGCACTTTTTTCTTTCTTCTTAACCTCATCAATTTTTTCTTCAATTTCTGTATCTATCAAATTTTCAAGAAAATAGAGCTTCCTCAATTTATTTGTGTAGGGTGAGTTGTTGGATTCAGGTATAAGAGAGGGGCTATTTGTATTTTTTTTCAAATAATCCAGGGGTGTATCTTCATCCTGCACATTTGAAAGAATCAGTTTAATGAATGGTAATAATGTTGATTGTATATCTTCTAGGTTTCCCTTGGATAGATAAGATAATAGGTAATTTAGTGCATGTGTAATTTCACTTTTATCATTTAGGTCTAGCTGCTTCTTCATATTTGCCCAGTTTGTGCCAGTTTTGTCTGAGAATGCCTTCTCTGGCTCAATCATCAGCTCGGTGCTTGTGTTCTGCTTCCGAGCTCTTAATATCTTCATGAATCTTCCTTCTGGATTCTTTAGAGATGCCTCTTCAACTGTCAAAAGAGAAGAGACTGCTTTTGATAAGGAAGGCTCATGGAACAGCTTTTTGTCAGGCCACAGGTATACACCCCAGTCAAATAAATTAGG